GAGTGGTGAAGCTGTGGCACTCAAGCTCTGAACCAGACTGCCCAGCTCTTTCAGGGCACACACCATAACATGCTGACTGGCAGAGACATCAGCTGCCCCAGCCTTGTTTTCTCCACTGATGTCATTCACAACTGCCTCTGTAAAAGAAAATGCGTGGCAGGGACAAAGGAACGAACAAGAAGGGTTTGTCAGCATGCAAAAAATGTTCAAGTTGAACACAATCAAAAATCCTTAAAAGTATTTTAATGTGTTACTAATTCAGAATGTGCGCAGCATTAATGGATAATGTGACCTGCACTGAATTGCAACTTAGATCAAAAATGTTCTTGAAAACAAGGCACTTTGTGTCAGATTTACAAAGTTAATAGTTTTTATTAATTAAATATTAATCCTTTAACACATTACATTAAAATACACTGTGAAAACCTGGATGGTCACATTAGTCCATGTATTGCTGTCACACATCTTCAAACCGCAAAGGTTTGCAATTGCAGCACTAGAACTCCTCAAAATACTGAGGAACACTGTGCTGCTATATGCCACAAACACAGAGATCTGAGGATTTGTTTCAGACAAAAAGGTACAATACGTGAAACAATGGTTACAGCTGCATTAAAGGATGAATGTGACAAAGAGAAAGACTTCTTCTGAATTCAAGTTAATTGCTGATAAACCCACCTAATGGTCATTTATCAAGAACTTAAATCCTCAGAGCTCTAAATAGGCAACAGTCCAGACCAATCATACCAAAGGAAAAAGTCAATTAAATGACTTTAGGAAGAGATTTAAAGCTGCTTCTTGAACTGTGGCAGTCATGTTGTTCCATACAAGTTAGGATGCGGGGAACCGACTGTAGAATACACATATACAAAGAGATCCCAGATCCATCATGGCTCCAGGAAACAATTTCCAAGTTACTTTTAGCATAAATATACTTTTTTTTAAAGTCTAATTTCAAGAAGTCTCACAGATCCAGCTGGTTGGAAAAGCTACAAGCAGCAAGTATAGTGAAGAGCCCAGGACCACGTCTTAAGATACACCGACATTCAACATGTTTTTCAAATTCTGTTTTAACATAGATATGAACAAAAGACTGTATGTTCTGACATATTTTACATCAGTTTAAAGGTTGCAAAGCAAATCAGAGTAAGAATCATCCTTTGTGAATGAGATAAAGGTGATTATAAAAATGATTGATGTGTTGTAAAGCAGAACAAAATGAAAATTTGGAAAAACTGAAATCAATCAAACTAAATGATGGACAAACTTGCAAATATTATGTCTTGTTGCTGTGGGGGGAAATGGCTTGTTCCTACTGTGTGTCAGTGAATTTAGTGGCACATGCAGTTTTTCTGCTGGTGTAAGCCAGATGTCAACAGTCAGAAAAGAGTTATCTGCTCCTTTGGGATTATAATGCAATAACAGAATGTGAATTCACAGGCAAACAGCCATGGAGGCTATGCTATAATGCAAGCATGAGTAACTCAAATGCTGAGCCGGGAATGGATAATGTTACTGACAATATGATGCTGCTTGTGGTTAAAAAGAAACGTAAAGAAAGAGGAGAGTGAATCGAAAGAAGCAAAAAGGCAGAAAGCAAGAGGAAAAGCCGAAATAGGGAAAGCCATCTCCGCACACAACAAAAGACAGAAAAGAAAAACCATCTCCGTATGCAACACAAGCGCAAACCATGCAAGAATTTTAGAAAGTGAATGAAGGGTGAATTAAAAGTGATAATAATGGATGAGTACTTACTCTGTAATGCTCTGAACCGTGATATTTCCCCCCCATCCTCCTTACCCACAGCCCTCATTTGCTTGCTGATGGCTTGGCAGATTTCTTTGCCGGCTGCAATTTGTGCTTTCTCTCCAAGTAAGCCCCCCAAGGTGGCGCGAAGCATGAAGGAGACACAGCGGCGTGAGTACACAGCCTCAACGTGTGTCTGCGTGGCCCGTGGGTGAGACACTAGGTCCAAAACGTGGGACAGGAATGTGGCAAAGTTGCGCTCCAGCCACTGACCACCGAGTGTAGTCACAAACACAACATAGGCCTGAGGAAGATGGAAGAAAGATCACGAGTTAAGTGGTTGGATCAGACAACGCGGGCTCAGATTCTTGTTGTGTTTGAGAATCCACCTCACCTGTGTGACCCCCACCCGAACCTCCCTGCTGACAGAGCCTCCCCCCTTCAACATCTCTCCTCCGCTCTTCAGGAAGCCAGATCCACCACGCAGAAAGCCTGTGGCCATTAGCTCCAGCACCTCCTCCAGAGTGGCCCGCTTCACGTTCTGACGCATCACTGAGGAAAAACCGCATTGAGACCATGAAGACGACACGACAAGTAGTCGAACATAAACTATACAAATCAACTCTTTAACCTACCGGCTGCTTGTTTGGGCATCAGGGCAGTGGCCATGACTGTCCCCAGCAGTTTGGCCACTGCCACCCGAACACCATAGTTAGATCCTTCCAAGGCTTTGAAACACAGAGTGGCCACGTTCTCCAGTTCTGTGGTCCACATGAATACGGCCTCATTCTGCAGCTCCAGCAGGCACTGATCAGGCAAGACGAATAAAGAATAGAGAGTCCTGTTAGTAAAATCTACATTATGCATGTGCAGAAAACATGTATTTTTTTTATTATAGACCTACCACTGATATACACATATAGACGCTTAATTGTTGCAATAAACTGGGCACACAACTTGCACCATATATAGTACAACTGGTACAAAATGGTTTCTAAACAGGAAATCATATTTCACAAGAGGGAAGTGATCTGCACAACACATTTGAGTTCAGTACACATAAATGACATAGCAAAAAATGTGTGAACATTATTACGTAGTGTCAGTTCTAAGAACCAAGGAACCATCACAAACATTCAGCAGGATGAAACATAATAAGAATGTTTCCTTTAGTTTGACCACATCTACAAAAATATAAAATATACTTCAGTCACCGCTCCATTAGGCATTTTTCTGAGACCGACCTTTGCTACCGCACAGCGTACAGCCATGGACCTGTCTGTGAGTAGAGAGCGGGCGTTCTTGTAGATATCTCTGTGACATGAAGCTGCAGCTCCACCCAGTCCATTAAGCACCTTCTGCAGGCTGAGAAGAATCTCTCCTCTGCCTTGTGACTAGATCAACAAAGTAAAAGTTAAAGAAGAAAGATTCAAATAAATGTCTGTTT